TATCGCTAAATCAGTTAGTCAAATGCTTGGGCTGCCTGTGTTTGAATTAAATGAATAGATTGTAAGGAACTTATCAACAGTAAAGCTGAAAATTGATAACTAGACCGTGTGACAAAACATTCATAAGAAATTTTCTTCTTGTAGACATTCCAAAGAGCAGATTGTTTGACAAGATGCCAAGAAAGCTTTTGAAATTTATGAAGACTTTTCCATTTTCCTACAATAATCACATTGTAGGAATTACACCCAAGGTTTGACATGTGACTATTCTGTCATACTCCTGCCGAGCAACACTAGACTGCTGACAAAATAAAATACTTGCCGTATAACAACCACAACCACAACCACAACAACAACAGAAATATATGCCTACTCAAAACAAAATGGGAACAACAACGAAAGACAAAACAAAGCAACAAGAACTAACGAAAAACAAAACAAAACAAAACAAAACTGAAAAAAACAACAACAAGCCAATGATAGATTTAAAGTGTATTATTATCTTCTTGCAATTCTCTCTGGTCTCTAATGAAAGTATTGATCGTTTTCAACCATTCCCATGAGATTCAAAAGATAAAAGACCGGCGGCCATGTTGGAGGAATGAACAATAGATACTAATGAGAAATGGCCTTTGTTAAAGTTCAACCAAGATGGCCGCTGTGACGTATAGTGAAAACGAAGAATAAAGCCACTCTTCGTGTATTCCTTATAGAGCTTTACACAACATGAAGGCCTTAAAAACATGTATCGCATCATATCGACTAGTAARGACAGAAATGGACAAGAATTCATAGCAACAATAGAAGGTAAAGTATATTGTGCCCAGAACTATAGTGACTTGTACTATTGTGCGTTTTAACAAACAGGTTTCATTTTTCTGTGCGTCTGAATTCTAACATATACAGTGATGAAGTAAAAAATGTGATTTGAAGAAAAAAACCCGCAACGAGATGAAGTGGAGAAAGGAATTTCCACTTCCATGTAAGATGTTTAATAAATGTCAATAGATAATAGTGAATGGTATTCAATTTTATACAAGTTAGCACTTTTAATTGTAAATGTGCACTTCATTATCTAGTTTTAAGTATTCTTTCTCTCTTTTGATCTTTTTTAGGACGAGAATTTCCTTTCTTTCTATTTCATTGGCATCCTAGTAAAAGTCAATTTGTATGGNAAAAAAAAAAAAAAGCAACGAGACGAAGTGGAGAAAGAAATTTTCTACAAACTTCTTTGCTGCGATTACAACGCTGTCAAGTTGATAGTATTTTAACTCTTTGTCGACGGATGTTTATTTGTCGATTTTAAGCATTTTCGACCCTAAAGGTTTGATAGAATATTTGACTTCCATGTAAGGTGTTTAATAAATGTCAATAGATATTAGTGAATGATACTCAGTTATACAAGTTAGCACTTTTTCAGGGTCTTTTAATTGTAAATGCGCACTACATTATCTAGTTTTAAGTATTCTTTCTCTCTTTTGATCTTTTTTAGGACGAGAATTTCCTTTCTTTCTATTTCATTGGCATCCTAGTAAARGTCAATTTGTATGGGTAACAAGTTTGGACATTTTTCATTCAATGTACTCTGTTCGTATTTCCCAGCACATGATAGATCGTTTCATGGATATTGGTGAGTACAAACAAACACATGATAACATTATACTGCAATGTGATTAGTCGTCAAACAACGTTGAACGTCACAGTCTTTGCTCTGATAGGCTGATAACAAAAAAAATCATGCATCCTATAGATAAAAAGTGTAATTACTTGCTGATAAGTACTCACTAAGTATGTTGTTTGATCGCAATGCACGATATTTTCACGATGACGTCATAGACAGYGACTACCATAATGCACTGCTTTAAAGATTTCTTTTGTAATGTCRTTAGCTTCTATTGTTCTTCTAACAAAGAAAATACGCAGAGCATTCTGGTAGTGTTAGCAAAATGACGTAATATCGCCTATTTATGCAAAACAAGTCTTTTTCAGAACCAGAAGATAGAGAGTTATTCAGGCCGTTAACTGGGGAAACATATTGAGTCATAAACACAATCATAAGAGTTTGATCCAATCTAACATGCTGTCATGCTGTCATTTAGAAAAATTTAACATTTTTTTAATTCTATATGACAATGTTTTTACAATTTGTAGTTACACTATCAAAAATGATCTATGATGATGACGAAATAGATTAATCATTGATAATATTGATATTTTAGCTGTCCAAAATGATCATAAATTTCCCACAAGACAACAAGAAGAAAATGCTCTCATCTACAAGCATTCTGTTACATATACAGAACGATTGGGCACATCGATGCAAGTATATTATTTCATCAACCGCAATCCATACCAAACTAAGTTTTATCCAGGCGAACGAATAGATGTTAGCAAAGATATCGAGCAATAATTAGCTAACTTCTAAAGAAAAAATCCTAAACAAGCAAAGATCATAAGAACTTGCATTTAATTCAGTTGTATGCAGACAATGGGAAAATGCATGAACATCACTATGGATATTAAGTATTGAAGTATTAAAGTCAGACGATGCTGTTTATGCTTCTCTCAAATATATAAGCATAAGTACATAATCTATAATATACGCCTGCGCACCCTACCTTTCCTTTTCTTCGTAGAAAGGGGTGCAAAAATCCTCTACTCGCAGGGTACGCTTGTGGAGCAAGCCAGTCTCCGGTACGATCTTAAAGTCCCACATGCATCCGGCAACCTTTGCGCGATTTTGTCACATACAAAAAATCGCCATCTTTGATTTATGATTGGTTTAGAAAACAAATTTCAAGAATAGATTAATTGTAAGGTTTAGTTTCATGCCGAGCATAGGTTTAACTAGAATGTTTTTGCTTCAAGGCAAAACTCAACAATTTATTCTAGTGATAATTATATTGCGTAGACATAGTAGTAAGGCTGTAACCATCTGTCTCTTTAATGAAACTATTATGAGTCCCTAGAACGTAATGGTTAACCAACTGATATGATCACATTATCACTAGCTAGCTATATAAAGTTCTTATTTCTTTAACTTTGTTCCAAAATTCCTAGTCTCGTCCGATCTGCCTTTACATATGCAATGGGAGTGATATCAATTCAGATCAGCAATTCATGTTGCCTATATTAAATTTAAATATAAATGTAAGGACAATCTTTTGCTTATTTGTTACCAAGACGGCAATACTTGCCTAAAGCAGCTTTAAAATTGTACGTTTTATTCAAATGTCTCAGTTATTTTTGCTAGCAGCTTGAAGCTAATTTATGTTAGTATGACAGTCAGGAGCKGCTCCTGTGACAGTATGTGRTATATGAACGTTGCATCGACGTTTTGTAGTCCACTGTTTTAATAAGACTTTTAATATTTATTTYACACCTGTGTTCAACGWGGATAAAGCGAATTTGACAGGAGCCCATTTCCTGAATTTGATAGGAGTTTATTTTATCATGTTAATCAATTTCATTGAATTTGATAAAGGATTTTCTTCATGTTTGTGTCTGATGCTTGTCACTTCCTTATGTATCATAATGGTGGGAACTAGCGGTAGACTAGTGTGAGCTGCGTCGGTGTTTCTAAAGAAACAGTTGTGTAAAAAGATAAATTAAACACCGTAAAAAAGTAGGAGAAGTAACTTACTGACGTTTCGGACGTTAATCCTTCGTTGGAGTAAACGTGATGAAACTAGGTGATTAGAATTTCGAATGTTCGCAGGTTAAGTTTGACATAAAACCGTTCCCTATGTGAGTACTTTCACTATATTTCACTACATTTACTGGTTCAGTGACCAATTTCCTTTTGAGGTTTCGATATGTCAAAAACTAATTTGATTACANCAATCTTATGACCATAAGTTAGCGAGAATCAATATTTTTAAAAATCTAAAATTGATAATTTATCTAAATTAAGGAATGGCAAATTAGCAGTAATAAATTCATAACGGATTTCCTGATAAACTCTGCTATGAAAGACACAGCAAACAGTTTCTTTTTGATGCAGTCATTTTAGTCAAGTTAACTATTTTTGCATTATGCTTACTCTGACATTTAAATATTTTGTTTTCTGACATTTGACTTCAATGAGTCAAGAACGACATAAAATCCGTTTGTAAAAATCTTCTACAACGTCCTGTCGTTAAAACGTGGGACGCGGAGAGCGGATAGCGGATATGCGGATAAATTTTTGCGAGCTGAATTTTGAGGAAAACATTTTTGCGGATAGTTACAACTGACCTGTCATCATGTCACGAACGGGTCACGAAACCCGGTCACGACATCCACACTTACGGGTCACTAATTCTACTAGTATAAAGTTGTCGCTCAGAACAGAATCTGCCAACCTCTAAAGTTTGGGAAGTTCTACATGCCCCTAAATAGCAAAGATTTTAGTAGTGTCATCTCCTCGAACGGTCGCCATCAGTACAATGTGCTTTTATCAGTGGGAGCAAAGTTGTCTCAATCGATGTAAAGTCGTGAGGAAATCGCTGGGCACTCGTAAAAAAACTAACGTGGAAAAAAAGTGCTTGCATTTTAAGACCGTGCCGGCCGTAGAGGCCTGGTCACGGTAATAATATATGTGTAAACTCATCAATTCAATCAATTCAATTCAACTCAATGGCGGCTTCTAGGAGCGATTATAGAATACCCGTTCACCCCAAAAAGCTGTATAACTTAGCGTAACCGCGGTCCGCAGTCGGTAGTGAAATAAGTAAGCATGTATAACTAAGTGTAACCGCGGTCCGCAGTCGGTAGACTAGACGCTCTAAGAGCGCTTACACGGAAATTCCAAATATTAATGAGCGGTTCGGGAATGTCCTCTCAAAAATTATAGATTACTTTACGCCAGACAGCGTCAAAATATTAATGATTAATAATCTGAAACTGATCGATTCATAAATATATGCACTCATAGAAATTTGCCCCTTTTATATAAAAAATTTGTACATGTATGAAAGTACATATGTATGTATGATATTTGTTCATATTTATACTTGTAGAGTTTGTTTTGGTCTGGAACGTACAAGGCTGTCCATTCGTATTCTGATTTTGATCTTCGATTCACTAC